ATTGACATATTATCCTGCTGGCAGAGATTACTTTTAACCCTTTAGTGCCCAGGCCTGAAATCACTGGGGTGGGTTCTGTGCCCAAGCCAAAATGGAGTCTTCATCCATAATCACCACCATGATTTATTTGGATTTAGTTATATGAAAATCTATGTTATCAATGACCACACAAAAAAATTGAAAACTACACAGATGTTTAATCTCCAAGTCTATGGTAATAAAAAGGAAGATACATACTTTTATTATATGACCCGTATCTGCCCGGGCGTGTGGTCTTGAAAAAAACTTTGGGAAAATGGTGTGAGCAGGGCCATACGGCTTTGAACGAGCAGGGATTTAAGAATCCGTACAGCCCTGCTAGAAACCTGCAAACGTATTATTTTTCTTTTCATGAGGGTCGTATGATAAAATGCTTATTGACTGAGTAAGGTTGGGCTGTACGGGAAAATATTTGGCTCTTTGTCATTTGTACGGAAGTCACTGCGCTTGGTCGGTATGGCATCACCACGAGCCAAATATTTTCCTGTACAGTCCTCCCACTCAGTCAATAAGTACATAGTATGAAGATAGAAAAATCTTTTAAGTAGCCAATAATGTCACTGATATTTTTGTTGTTGATCTCGGCCACTGGAGCGGCCTATGGGTGCCTTATGTAGAAGGCTACTCCAGTGGCCTATGGGCGCTAAAGGGTTCAGAGACTCTGCCAGCATTGTATTGACATATATTTTTATTTGTTTATGTTTGTTTTGTGTTACTAAGTTGTTCCAGTTTTCTTRACTCTAATTTCTCATTAATTTTATTTCTTTCATTCATTCTTTTTTTAGAAAATTCTTCAAATAAAAACAGAGATATGTCAAGACTACAGATTCTTATAGGTTAGCTTATTATTCTCTCTGACTCATTTTTAATTAATAATAATAATAATAATAATAATGAAACGTTCTTAGAGACGCATTAATAATTCTCAATGAGTTTACAGAGTAAAACTAAAAAAAAGGTTCCTGCTATATACTCATCAAAACACAAATATTAATGTTCGTAGGCTTTAGTCCTGTTTTAAATGATGTGATTGTTTCAGCATTTCTTAAATAAGTTGGCAGAGTGTTCCATAGTTTTGGGGCAATTCCTCTACTTTATGCCTAATTTTTTCTCATTTCAGAACATGTGTCATTCTCTTTAGAATAGTTGTATCCATTTCCATGTGTCTTCTCATTGCAATTGTTAAACAATGAAATGAATGTCATGGTCTGAAATGGGAAACATTGTATGCCCAAACTGAAGGGTTTTTTTACTCTCCTCTTTTTAATCATTAAAACCTGTGAATAATATTTAGTACTAATTAGTAGTAATTCATACAGAATCCTTTGCTTCCTATTGTTTGATTATTACTATTTAGTACTAAAAATTAGTATTTGTTTTACGGGTTTAGTGCGAGCACTCTATAGGGACATACAGTATTCTTGACTATATTTGTATTATCTATTGATAAAAGCTACTATTGTCCAGTGACTTGCAGATGTATTGATGCAATTTTTCTTCCATTTAGATAAAATTCTAAAAGTTAATGGTCTAGTCAAAGAAAGAAGGAAAAGACTGCTTGAGTGGACAGGTACAGTTTCTGCATATTTCATTCCATTGCATATTCCATTCCAAAGAGTGCAAGAATGCATGTTGCTACTTTTATATATACATACACGCATAATGCATGTGCGCATGTTATTATCAAGCATACCATATGCAGACTCATTTTGGAAGGAAAGTACTAAGAGCATATCAGTTGAAGGGTGTACAATGTAACTAAACATGCTTATTGATTTTTGTAGAATCAGACGAAACTAAATTATCTGGTGTAAATGATGTTTTGTTGGCAAATTCTGATTTACCAGGTAAGRATATCTAACTTAAGTTTACTTCTCCAATGCATCCCTGGAGACATTGTCCCAACAAAACATCAATACTATCAATATCAAATCCTTTCTTGGCAGATTTAAGTTAGGACATTGCCAATGTAAAATGTGTTTCATCATGATGATGTACTTGCATAATAAAGAATAGTAGGATGGAATTAATTTCCAGCTACTGAACAATCCCTTTCATTTGATTTGACAGAAGATGAACGAGAGTCCAACCCTTTAAAGTTAGGTCTTGTTAGCATGCAAAACATACAAGGTAAAATTAATGACATTTCTTCAGAAGTTACACTCACACTTCTAAAATCAAATGAACATCTTTATATTGTCGCATAAATGGTTACATTCCTTAAACCTCATGATACTCTAGCACATTGCTAAGCAATTTATTGTCTTTCAGATAATTTTTCTGAGATTGAAAAGTTAGTCGAAGCTGAACATGAACAAGGAAAACAATTAAGAGGTGAGCTTTGTGACACTCATCATCTATGCTTCAAAACCCATAGCTAGGGCTTCAAATCTCAGCTTTAAATTTAAATTTAAATTTAAATTTTTCTTTTCTATTTCTTTTTGTTTCTTAGTTCAGTTAATTTGTTTATTTTCAGAAGAGCTCAAAAATGCTCAGGCTTACACTAAAGACTTCAAGCAGCAGATTTTAGACTTACGAGGTGATTTGACTGTTTTGAAGTACATCTGTTGCAAATTAATTTCAGAACTTGGCACTYCTAATACAAATTACATTGCACTAAAAATTACTTTCCATTTTTAAACAAACAAACAAACAAAAAAGACTTCCTTTATTAGCTTGGGTATACCATTTCTGATTTCTGATTAATAAATGGTATACCAGTATCCCAGAACTTTCAAAAATTATCAATCATCTTTTTTATAAATGATTTAAGTTGGCCAGGAATTTTGAAAAGTTGATTGTTAATGCTAGAAAAGGGTTAGTTTATTTATTTCATTTMAAAATAAAACCATCCCAGTTGCTGAAGATTAATGGTTGGGCAAATAGTTAGCATGTATTGCAGTTWTTGTATGCCTGGAAAATAGTACAAATTTTTTTAAGCTGCATGATATGATGCCATACCATTATAATATTTATGTACTATATTATTATTATAGCAAATAATGTATTGTGGTTGTTGGATTGCTCATACAAAAAATGGGAAGCCATTTTAGTGTTATTACACTTTACTGGAATGTACTGATATTCTGCATTCAGACAGTGTCATAGGTTTCCCACTTAAAAACTGTTACATCAAGGCAATGTTACACGAGAAGATTTGTAACTACAATTTTTGCACTTGCACGCTTATGTGAAAAGTTGATGCCATGCAGCATTCCAGACAAAATGATTTTTTAGAGTAATTTTAACTTCAACATGATGTGAGTTTTTTGATCTGAAGTAAGAAATCGTCTCATGTAACATTGTCTTTTCTAACTTTAGATTCCAAAATTGCATGGATTACACCTTTACTGCATTGGGCACTATAAGGAGTTTTTGTTTCTTTTTGTTGTGTTACAGATAAATTATTAGAGGAACAAGAACTAACTAGGAAAAAGGATGAATATTTAGCTTCTCTTAGACGTGAGTGTGCTACATTCACTGTACTAGTATTTTACTAAATTTGAAACCCCCGCTCAGTTGGGCTGATGTGCSTGATGTAGTGCAAGTTTAGTCTGTCATAGTGAATAGACTTCTCTGATAACTTGAAATAGAAAGTTCTAAAAATGATTTTATTTGATCAAAAGAAAATACCACTATCAACTACCACTAGTATTAATTTAACAGTAGTGATAAAAGGGTAAAGTTTACACCGTGAAAAGATGAAAAAACTTACTGATGTTTTGGACACTAGCCCTTCATCAGACTAAAAGAGGAAAAGCCAATTTATTTTCTCCAACGAAGGACTAGCTTCCGAAATGTCAGTAAGTTTTTTCATTTTTTTACGGTGTAAAATTTACTCTTTTATCATGACTGTTTCATTAAAAACACCGATGCAGCTTACACTAGTTTTTAGCTAGTTATCTCTTAGTATTAATTTAGTACTGCAGACTTATATTTTATTGATAGGGGAATATAAAATCACTCTCACATTTAATTTGTCCTTTTCATAACCATTTCCAGTTCTCATCCCATTTTTTCATTCTTTTTTTCCACAGGTGAAATCAATGAACTTTCAAGAGAGAGAGACTTAATGCAAGTAGAAAAGAACTGTGAGCAACAAGCAGTTGAAGCTGCTAAGAATGCCGCCAGAGAGATGCAAAAACAAGCTGCTAAAAGTGCAGAGTCAGCAGGAAAAAATAAAGGTAGGTTTATATACTCTTATTTGTTATCGAGATTACCTGTCCAAAAGTTTTCTGTAGATTTTACTATCTTTTCCAGTAAACATTTTGTCATTAGAAGTCTTTGATTGATTTACTTTTTGTTATTTATTTACTCTTTTTTATTTTCAATTGTTTCTTTTTCTTCTTGTTTAGAGTTTTTTATTCTTATCCTGTATCATATTCTTGTATTTCAGTTGAGCTTAGCGCAATGTCAGAAGACAATCTTTCATTAAAACAAAAAATTCAAACCTTGGAAAGTGAGCTAAAAAAGTAAGTTAACAATGCACTTTTGATTGGTATTAATCATGTTATGTTAGTTATGATGATGATGTTAATGATGATAATGATAATATTGACTACAATGATGACAGTATTAATAACTAAAATTTATATAGTGCCATATCTAAGACCCTATGGCCAGCACTTCAAAATTACAATAAATAGAATATAATAATTTAAAACACTCATTAATAATTCATAAGCTTATGGTCCAATTGGAGCCACCATACACGTCATGTGCATGAACCTTTATACCCGATAAAGTCCTCTTCATTAGTATTCAAGTGATTTTATATAAAGACACATGTGATCTTTATATAAAGACCACTCGAATACTATGAGGATGACTTCATGAGGGATGAAGTATGCATCCAAGTTTAGATGAAGACATAGAGCTTCATCAAGGTCATAGTCAACCCTAAAGATCTTTGACTAACGTGCCTGTCTTTGCCTTGGCACGCAATATCCAACGTGTGGGAGCTTCTATTGAATCTGGTTGCACATGCCCGTGATGTCAAATTTTTATCGAAGTATAAAAATCCATGTTTGTGACGTGTATGGTGGCTCCAGTTGAACCAAAATCTTATAAACTGTTCATGAGTGTTTTAAGCAGTTCAAAGAACTCGTAGATCGTGTTTTATCAGGTATGAAAGCACTCTGCTACGCCTCATGCTTTTATACCTGATAAAACACTCCTACTCGTTTTTTAAACACTACATATATAAACTAACATAAAAATATAATAAAATATACAACTAACTGATGCACCCAGCTGATCTGAGAAAAAATGTAAGCCAATCAGTCAGAATTGCAAAAATTTGCAAAACTGAGGTATCACTTTTTCTCTTGAAAGCATTGCTAATATAAGTGCTTGATAACAGGAACACAATAATGAATGAATTTCTATTTTTTTTGTTATGATTATGTTTTTATTTTTCACTGGTCAGTTTTCACAGGCTTCATGACACCTCATTTTTGCAGTGACACCATTGCCACATAACTGTTTCAGATTAGCTGGATGTTAGATATAAACAAAATACAATTATAAAACTTGTATGGTCTGTGCTGGCTCAAAGATTAACTTTGATTTATGATGATATTCCCTTATCTCAGTCTAATCCATGATGATCATTTATCTGACTCTGTTTGAACTGCTTTATGTAATAGATATCGCCGAGAGAATAACAGGTTATCTGCYGATTATGCAAAGCTACAAGGATCACACAGGGATCTTGAACTGCAAAGTAGAGCCCAGCATGAAAAACAGATAAAGCAACAGGTAATGGTCAATGCAGTATTAGTATATAGACCTCTTGAGCTTGGGAATGTCTTGTCTATTTCAGACCGCATGTCATTCCCTAGAATATTATGTCTTTGCTTATTAACTGTTTCACTTKAAAAGACACATAAATATAGATACAATATATTGTCAAGAGAATGACACATGGTCTGAAACAGGAAAACGTTGCGCCCAAGCTAAATGTGTTTGCGTCTCTCCTACACCCTGTGTTTTTTACGTGGAATATATGACATAAAAATCTTCTGTGTGAAGGAAGGTAGTGACTAAGCACAGAAAGAGGTCTATCGGCAGGTCCCAGCAGTTCAATTAGATAAAACTTACAAGGAGATGCACAATATTCATTCATCTGCAAGATGGCAATTTATTGGTGAAATCAATATAAGATAGTAATATTTGCATGTGATTATTAAAGGCAATAGTCAACTTCTTCCTTGTGTGATATAATGTCTAGTAAATGCTGTGCACATGTGCAATAAGTAACATTCTTTAAGTAAAATATGCACACTTAACACTGCTGCATGTAATTTCTCTCAGCACGCACTGCACAATAAGATGGAGCTTGAAGCACAGGAAAAACAGGAGTCCATGAAACAGGTGTGCACAATAGATATTCTGCAATCAGCACTATCCTCGACATTCTCCTTCTCTCATTCCTTGTGCTTGCATTATCATAATAAAAAGGTCAAACTAAGCCATTATAAAGCTTCCTTTATTGCAATTTATTATGACACCTGATGATTCATTCTTGGTTGGGATCAATGGATTACTTCCATGATACGGCAGCCATCTTGGAATGCAAGGCATTATGGGACGTCCAGGGGGCAAATAAAGCTTTGTTACAGTAACGGCGTCAATTGATATTAACAGCTCGCCACAAGAAAATATAACAAAAGACAAATTAAGGGACACATCGTTCACCTTTACCAATAAAAGAAAGACAAACACATGAAACTCTATATATTTTCCTACATCATTGTTTTGTTTTGTCCCCCTGACAATATGGTTGCAGTATCATCGAAGTAGTCCATTGATTTGATTGTTACTGATAAGCTTATTAGATAAACATATTTTCAATATAATGTATACTGTATCATTGCCAACACAAATTATATTATCTTTTGTTATCTTTTAATGGGCCCTGCAGTTYTTTTAATCCATAGTAATAATTAAGGTAGCTATTTTGTTACATTTTGTTTAAGGAATCAACTGTGGGAGAAAAACTGCAATCCACAGAAGAAACAAAACTACAAGAGGCAGAATGGCGTAAGAATATAAAGGARGAACAAGACAAAGTCAGTAAGATGGTAAGAAGATAATAATTAAATTGATGMTGTTCTAAGGACTTGGAAGTAGTTTCAGTTTCACACGCTTCTGATTCCATCTCTAGTGTGAACCAGCCTTTACTGCAATTTTCATAAGCATGCAAACCCTGTGTCTCTGAGTATCATGCTGAAATTTGGTTTTTTGCTGCCGCCAGTCAAAAGTATGAAAGGTACTGACTGATTRGGTTTGATTGACGGCAACGAAAAACCAAATTTTAGTGTGCAGCTTGCAGACAGAGTTCGCATGTTTATGAAAATTTCAGTAAGTCAGAACCCAAATCACTCAAAATTATTCTTCCGTCTATAGAATGTCATGCAAACGCCTTGATTGATGTCCACCAAAAGCTTCTTTGTCACGACAAAAATCTATTATTATTTATTGACTAATGATTATTATTTCATCTTGATGTTTCAGCAATCATACCTTCTCTCTCTTATTGCTGTCATATTTGCCATGATCCTGGTCTACGCTCTAGACTTCATCTCTGTGTCAAGAGGACGTCGTTTGGGAGGCAGTTAACAATCAAGGCATCACTATACAAAAAAACCTTMTTTGCACAACTGGAAAGATGTCAAAAGATTTCTGTGTACAGCCCCTGCTTGGTTCCTGATGTAGAACCTGTGTGAACCATGCCCTTGTCATCAAAAATTGGACTACTTGGGGCAAGAGAGGCAGTGATTCTATACCTATGATTGTTTGAATGTGTGATAGTTATTTCAGTTCAAAAAAAATGCCCTAACTCAGACATTTTTGAGAATGATTTACCATACCTGTTAGTTCTCTGTCTTGTGCAAAACATGCCYATGTGTTGTGCTTTACAGGTTGTTGAAAGTTCTACCGATTAATGATGTTGGGTCAAGAGAACTCAAGTTAATCTTATGCACCATTTCATACACCATGGACTTTGGCTTTCTACCTATGACCTAATTATCATACAGAATGCTGTTTTATATTATCAAATCAAATGTATAATATAGCTAGTAATGAACCTTTCTTAAAATTACCTTGGATGTTAGGCTAACGGCAAAATACCAAAGAAATCAAACCTTTTTTTAAGGGAATTTGGAATTTTTTCAATGGAATTTCTTAATGTGTTAGCCTCGCATTGAAGATAATAAATTAATTTTTAGGGGGTCTATTAGTCTATTGGTCAATTAGTCCCCTATTAGTGTCGTCATGAGGCGCTCACTCCCTTACACAATAGGGGCGGTGTATTAGACTATTGTGTCTTAAATACAATGCCAGAGATTAATCTATTCTACTGTTTTCTGCCCATATTTCAACTGGCTACTATGTTGTCTAGTGTATATATGAACAAAATAACTAATTACAGCATTATCAAACACGTTTTTGGCTCAACATATGCCATAACAAATTGATTATATCGGTTATTTTCTATTTGATATTTGGAGTTTTTGTATATGATTATTTTCTATGTGTTCATTCTCTTTTGTTGATTTCAAATTATGGAGTTTGCTAGGAAAGGTGACAAATGATTTAATAAAGTATCACTGCAAAAGATATTGTTTTACACTGGTTTGGCAATGATTATATCTAGGGGATATTACACTGTGTATTTTCAATCTTAATCATGATATCTTCGACACCTTGTCACCATGAAATGTACCAAGTGTCAAGATTTCTTTACAGAGCTTGCATGATTTAATCCAGAAATATCATTGACAGCTTGCCAACCAAATCAGTTTCTTCCATAACTATTTGTTACTAGGGGGCATGGGGGGGGGGGATATACCACTCCCATTTCCCAGCCAATTTTTTTTAAACAAATCCCACTTTCCAGCTTCCAAATGCCCCCAATTTTTTTCTTTACTGAAATTGTTCCATTCCCAATTAGTGCATGATGGGGATGATACATGATGATGATGCATGATGGTGCATTATATTGAAATGATCAATAAAATAATACATAATGATGTTGATGATGATGCCTGATAATGAAAAACATGATAATGATATGATACATGATAATGATATCGATGATGCATGGAACTTGTAAATGAAAGCAAGAAAGAATAAAATAATTTTATTATGAATGGCGTGAGGATGGATAGATGGATGATGGGTGGGTGGATGGATGGATGGATGGGTGAAATGAATAAAATAAATTGATGAGATGGTAGATGGATGGATGGATGGATGGATGGATAGGTGAAATGGATAAAATGGATGATACGGATAAGATGGATTGATATATATTTTATAGGTATTTTACAACCACCACTACCTAAAAGGGCTCGATCTTCCATGAGGCTCCCTCGACACACACTACCATTACATTCTATATTTACAATATATGACACTTAACTCACATGTTGCTTTTTACAGAGGGAGGAAACCAGAGATCCCRGATAAAACCCTCGTGGCAAGGAAGTGAACAACATCAAACAAACTCAACTCACATATGATCCAGTCTGGACCAGGGCTCAAACCCGGACAACAGTGGTGAGAGGCAAGTGATAAACCGCTATGCCATCCATGCCACCCATGATCTCTGCACATCAGCTGCATTAAACTTGTAAGCTTGTAAGTACTAAGCTTGTTTATGTATAGGTACTTGGTCATCATCATCGCCATGGGCTTCCTGTGGTAGTGAAGCACGTGTACCCATCATGCTTCATGGTATCTTTGACAAGAACAAACAAGATGGCGGGCGGAGTGCAACTGGGGAAAGAAACTTCGACCATTACACGGTAAGAAATGCTTCAAAACTAGACTAGACTAGACAAACATTAATATAAGATTGAGTTCTTCACCTGTATGAATTCATTTGAGGCTTTCTAAAAATTTTCGCCGTTAAATAAGCATTTGCATCATGCTTCAGGGTCTCTGAAAAGAAGAAACAAGATGGCGGCTGGAGTGAAGCTTCGAGGTGTGAACAGAAACTTCGACCATTACACGGTAAGAAATGCTTCAAAACTAGGCTAGACTAGACAAACCTTAAGATAAGATTGAGTTCTTCCCCTGCATGAATTTATTTGAGGTTTTCTAGAATTTTTCGCTGCTTAAATAAGCATTTAATTCTGACATCTTGTTTGGTTGTTGCACGTGGTAGACTTTCAAGGCTAAAAGTTTTGCTAACTTTCTTGTTCCGACTTCAAAAACCTTTCTATAGCATAAATGCAAAAAGAATTCAAAGCTAGTTTAGATATGATTTTCCTTTTTTCAGTAAAAATGCGAATATTTGTAACCTACTTCCAACGACAAATTATGTTGGTAATTTTTCTTCCTTTTCCTAAAAAAAAAGACAGTTAAAGCATTAAGTCCAATTTTACGGAATTGCTTTTATTTCAGTAAAAACTACGGTCAACACAATATTYTTTGTCAGAAGGGAGTGGTTGACAAATTCTCCTTTGTAGGGCACCCCTAAGGCCCCGTCCACACTATGCCGGATAAATTTGAATCCGAAGTTTTATTTATTCGGTTAGRCCTACCGTCCACACTAGTCCGGGCAAATCCRGAACAATTCTTCACTGAAAACGAATTTTTTTGAATACGGTCTCCAGAGTGGAACAATTTGAAAACACTGGCTACTAGCTGTATTAGTATAGATGTAGAACATTTTGTATCCGAAATTTTTCGAATACAATGACGTCATGATTGTCATGGGAACATGGCGGGAAGGCTAAAATTTGACCGCGGGCTCAATTTCAGCTTCGATGCACRTGCTCAGATGTGCAATGAAGCGTTTTTGCCGCCTCTGCTCGGACTAGTGTGGACACGAAACRTTTTATGCGTTTTCATGTGTGGACGGAAAACTTTTTTTTCAGTTTCAGTGGGAAAGTTGCAGATTCAAATTTATCCRGCATAGTGTGGACAGGGCCTAAGACTTCCCTTGTAATATGACTCCATGCTCCATTGTACTTAAAAAAAATGGTCCAATTGTTTTTATTGTATAAAATGAAGGGTCCCCTAGTCTTTACTTAACTTGGAGGACCATCATACTGACACTTTTATTGTTTTTTTAGTGGAATCATCAAGGAAAGAAAGACTAGCTGAATCTATAAGTGTTAGTCTTAGATGTTATTTAGTAAAATTACACCAGCGAAAACAATTTCCTTTGAATTGATTGAGCACCAATGTAATTTTACTAAATACTTATTCACCAATTATTGAGTGGATTCTGGTTGGTATTTGCCTCAAATATTGGCTGATCTTCACTTTGTCTTTGGTGAATAATCTTTAATATTAAATTTATCTACATATAATGCTTTGTTGTATGTAGATTTGTTTTCACCACTTTAAGAATTAGACCTTATAATATCAAAGGTTGTGCAAGCTTTTCGTTACAAATGAAAAGTGACCACARCTTTTGAATTTTCTTACAATTTACTAAATGCTGGTAACTTATGCACATATAATGTCTCCTTTGGACCTGATGACTGGCTGGCTTGGATCAACTCTACATATTATGATATATATTTGATTGATGTATTATTTTGATTGCCTTTTATTGCATTTGACTAATATTTATTGATCTTGATTTTTTGTCATGTACATGAAAAAGTTTCTTTCAAAATTTTGTGTATTTGCAATCTACTTTTATTTTTCCCATGAGGCAAGTGTTAGTTAAGTATTTTGCATTTGAGTTTGAAGGATTTTCATTGCTCTAAGACATCACCTTTTTCCCATCCTTCCTTTGGCTTTCGAATCAGATTTGGCAAATTCCATGAAAATCACAAAATTTAGAAAAATGCTTTTTCCTAAACAATTTCATTGTTTGACATGCTTCCATCTGTACAGTATGCTATCACTTTACTAAAAATATGTTTTTGTTTTTAAATTAAAGAGAGAGAAAAAAATACACAAATATCTCTTTTTGGCTTTCAACTTGGTTTATTAATTTTGTAACTTGTTCTGCTACCATGGTTAGTGACAGGATACTGTATATATCATGATGATTGTTATTCTCATTGATGCATTAGAAGCATATTTGATTGTGTGGTTCTATTTTCTTTGATCACCATATATTATGATGCTTTAATAAACATTTGCCTGCTACATTCTGCACTCCTGGTTCACTCCCTTCARCATGGTAAGTCAAGTGCATAATTTACCAGCATTAAGTCTTGTATTTTTCCACCAATGTCCTCTTTTATCATCCAGTTGTTTTTCTGAATATCTTACATTGCTATTTAAAGATATGGTAGACCATGTATTTTGGTGTTACATTCATTTCAAGTTATCCAGAGGATGTTGGTTGGAAGGTACAATTTTCTAAATTACTTTTCTCCGACAAGTTCTTAGTTACCTTACAAACACTAAAACTTGCAGAGCAACAGATGAGTCATTTGAATTAATTCACTCAAATACGTTCAACAAAGTATCATGGTCAAGAGATTTATGTTCTACCAAAGACAATTTCTCATTTAGTACAGTTAGTACAAATTGAACTTATTTTGTACTACTGTAGTCAACTTATTGGCCCATTACCTGTTGCAAGTGGTTGTAGTGTTTGTACTCTTCAGTGGGATTGTTTCTCTAGAAATGGTTCCATTTATTCTTAGAGTGGTGAAGATGTATTAACTTAGGACTATGAGTGGACACACCAATGGCCAGATAGAAATACTATCTAAATATTTTCATTTTTGGCCTTCTTTTACATTGTTTGGCTAGAACCTAAAGACATAAAAAGATGAATGCCTTTTTTAAAGGGTTCTCCAAGAATTGTGAAAAATTCTTTTCTCCCAGAGCTCCAACYGTTATGGTATTTCTTTGCACGATGTCTTCAATCTTGATGTTTCCTTCAAGATTCARTATCTATTTTTGGTTCCATTTACTTAATCACCAATGTTGAAAGTCTCAAAACAATAAGTGATTTGATTTTTCTCCATAAAATTTACCTAGTACTGATAAACCTGATCAGAAAAAATACAAACAAACAAGAAGTAATTTGGCATCAGTATTTCACCGGGCTTGGTGTGTTCATCTCATAGTCTGACAAAGGTGTTGCTTGAGTTAAAAGTACAACAAGAGATAACAAATGGTATACTAAAACTAAGTTGATTTCTGTCTGACTCTGAAAAGAGATTTATTCGTAAAAATGATTTCAAATTCAAAATTTTATTTTACAAGTCAAATTATATGTTGCCATGTTTCAGGCACTGGAATGATTAACTGAAATAATTGAAAACATTGTCTTTTAAATTAATTCACATTAAGGTGGCTCAATAGCATTTTCTTGACACTACCTTTGGACTTTAACAAATTGCAAATACCCATTTGGAAACAATTTATTGAAAGAAATTCAAATTGTGCATACTCGGTTGCAAACAATATATTGAAAGGGAACCTTTTCAAACCAGCTTATGTTTTATCATAGTAAGAAGGATTGGTCAGCATAAAATACCATTTGTAACTCTTGCTGTAATGCAGAATAGACTGTAGGATTGAGTAAACCATGGTACAGTCTTGGGGTACCAGGATAAGCTGACTCTGATCTCATCCTAAAAGCATACTATAACACACCATGCTATACCTTGCCGTACACCATGGTTGGCTGCGATCCTGCGAAGTCTATTCTGTTACAAGTACTGGTAAGGCTCAGTGTGGACATGGAACTTTTCATTGATCAAATATTAAGTGTTGGGGTGAGGTATCTAAAATCGGTCATCRAAAAGAAACCATCGAAAATTGAGACTTTAGGAATTTCATAAAGCTCCATGCAAGCTACCCTCTAATCAGTTTAAGGCAGCTTTTTTCAAATTGAAAAAAAGTTCCATGTCTTAGCTGGRCCAAATTATTGCTATATACTAGGCATAAAACTGGTGTTCACCATCGTTAAATTTTTCATTTAAAAAATCTAAATTTCTCCAATGATCTCACTAAAAATATCACTTCGTATTGGGAATATATYTTGTTTTGGGTACTACAATTGRATTTGAATTCTTTTTAACAAAGTACAACATCAGTTTTATGCCTTTTTTAGCATTCAATATCAGTCTTTTAATCAAGCAACACCTATGTCTTGAGAATCGTAATCAAATGCATTGTCCCTGAGGTCATCAGTTCATCCTATGCCAAACCCTTAAGGGTGGCCCTTAACACTTTGTTGAGGGCCATTTTTTCTTAAGGGGAGGGTAGGTTTGAACTTTTGATCTCAGGGACCTTCGCCTAATTACCCTAGGGGCAAAAATAATCACAAAAAGACTTAGTATATATTTTTTCAAAATTTATGGGGATTTTTTACTTTTTTTCACAATTTTTTATTTTTTTTATTGCCAATTTGATTTTTTTTAATTTTTAAAGCCAATTTGAATTTTTTTTCTTTAAAGCCCATTTCTGTTTTTTTTTGAGCCAATCCTTCTTACCTTGTCTGTGCATTCCAGACTTGCCTTGTTCCTTGCTTGTGGGTGGCTGTCTTTATGCTTGTCCAATTTTTCATCTGAGAACCTAGACCTTACCTGGATTTGAACCCTTACCTTCAACTTGCCTCTTGTCCATTAGCCTGTGCACTTGTGCTGTATACTGTTGGTTTATTTGTTGAAGTTAATGGTATTGATGTACCTTAAGTCATAGGGCTTTGTAATGCCTGGAATTAATTACTGAATAAAATTCTTATAAATATTTAATGTCTTGTTTATTGTCTGAACGAAACAAAGGGGTAATTAGCAGAATAAAGGAAGGGGATTAGATGGGTGGGGTAGAGGTGCTAAGCTAGCCAAAGGGTAAAGGTGCTAAAGAGACAAAGAGGTGCTTAGGGGAATAAGATGGGTGGGGTAGAGGTGGTAAGCTAGCCAAAGGGTAAAAGTGCTAAAGAGACAAAGAGGTGCTTAGGGGAATAAGATGGGTGGGGTAGAGGTGGTAAGGTAGGCAAAGGGTAAAAGTGCTAAAGTGACAAAGAGGTGCAAATGGGTGTGGTGCAGTGAGCTAAGCAGGGCTAAGGTTGTATGTGACAAGCCTGAAAATTTCTAAGTTTTTTGGCGGGAAAAAAACGAAAATTTGAAAAGGGGTGTACCATGAAATAAACAAACACCAAAATATTGTAAAACTCATTTATTATACAACGTTAAAACACATACATGTAAAACATTCAAACTTCACGGGGAGAAAAACGGTTAAAAAACCTGATATTTCGTATAACCTGACGCTTACATAACCAATAATAACACGTAGATTGAATAAATATATAGATAAAGAACGAAAGAAACTAGGTACAAGATAATGACTAGGTACAACTGATGAATATAATACAATATAGTAAAAGCCCGCGTATAAGAACCTATATTTTTCCATGTTAGCCTAAAAAGGTTGTTATATAAATGTTGTTAACTGCAGTTCTTATTTTCTTTTAAAAAAGTGATTTGTTTTTGGTGGTGTGGTTTAATATATAAGTAAGGCATAAAGCTTCTCCAAATGACTGCAATCTAAGCAAAAACAAACCTATATGCAGTTTAAAGCTACATTGTATGTAATTTCTTTGAAGATCTTATTGTYTTTCAACATTGGCGAGCAAAAAAATACTCAAAAATCAACGATTTTCACTTAGTTTTCTATTCCTGGTAGTTAAACAAAGTTTATATTTCACTTTACCTTTCGTTTTATACGTCTAGGATCTTTATTACGGCTGGTTTCTTGACATTTTTGGAACACTTTGATGGCTTCTTGTCGTTCAGTTCAAAATGGCGGAACATAAAAAGTTTGTTAGATGTCCACGAACCCCTTGAGAATAAAAAATCTGCAAGAAAAAGAAAATTAGACTCTTAAAAAGCGTGCTTTATACAAAAACACCTTTCGTCTTTAGAGGCTTTAGACTGGCCACTCCCTTGAGTATCATGTCTTTGTCTCTATTGACAATGAATCAGTGCCCCACGAATTCCAAATTAAATGGCGCGGTTTATACCTCATCAGAAAATTAAAATGTTTGTTTAAAAAATGCCTTAAAAAGCAGTTTTAAAGTAACAGTGAATTTAATACTTTTTGAAACAAATGCCTTATGTTTTTACATACGGCATTTTCTTACTTTTAATTTTTAGGAAATTTCCATTTCATAAAATTGTGGTACCCCTATGCCGGTACCATGAACTAGTACCCAACATTTTAAAAGTCGCGTTTTCGTAAATAAATAAATAAAAATGCAATAATTTCTTATTCACATACCATCTTAATTAAACCCTCCATAGAACTTCCAAAAGTGCTAGGTGGATCAGAAAATCCTTTCTTTGCTTAAATCTTGGCACAAAAAAATTTAGACATTTTGCAGTAATTTATAGAAAACTAGGCTTCTAAAGTTTCCTAAAGTTGCAGCCCTTAAAATTGCGCTTTCAAGTTCAAGTTCTGCTTGTATTTTTATTCAGAATAACGCGATTGGTTAACTACAACCTTAAACAAATGCAAACCTCCGCAAACCACAGGCATCCCAAACTGGATCTTTTTCGTCCTTTTATTTCAAGACTTCCCGAAGTTTTTCAAAACTCTTGTCAGCGTAGTTATTTAGTGCATTATTAAAGGTGTTATACATGCAAGTTTTATTAAAAACGAAATCCAAAAACATACAAAAATATGCAAAAGTGTCAAAACAGTAGTCCGCTGACYAGGTGACTGCAGACCAGAAAATTCCTTCACTCATAACACCATCGCATTTATATAATTGGAAAAAATAATTTCAGAAACATAAAGCCCTCATCCTCAGCTTTCTCTTAGTGTATATTTTGCTCTGAAAAAGCGATTTTTTAAATTGACGAAAATTTGGAACCTTCGAAAAAACGCGATTTTAGGGGTCTCAACTTCAAGAGCCTTGTTCTCTATGAAATAATGCAAAAAGTCAAAATTTCTTTGTGCCAAGATTTAAAGCTAAGAAAGGAGTTTCTAAAGTATCTAGCACTTTTTGAAAAACGTTTTTAGTTTTTCTTCTATAAAGCGTTTTTTGGCGATTATTGGATTTTGGGATCCCTGTGGTAAAATAAGACAGGTTCACAAGACAAGAAATCTGAATTTTCGTTGCAATAAATAAAGTTTCTCGAATTTTTTTGCTTAATATATGATTTCAATGTAACAAAGATAAAAGCGCGGGACTTGGGAAGGTTTTTCAAAAAAATGATAACTAAATCAGGAATGTTTTTTTTGTTTTTCGTAATTCCACCAAAGATTTTCCTACTATTTTAACAAGTTTAAATTAGTACCACGATGGATATATGCTGGGCCTAAGAACAAGTGCAACGATTCTTATRTATATCGCTTAAAAAAATAAATTATTTTAAGGAAAAGTCCTCATGCTATCGAGATAAAAACTAAAGATTTAGTTTAAGTAAGGAATGTATATTCACACTATCAATCCATATCTTTTTTGATCAAAGATTTCCACTAATATAACACTTTTGAATAAGTGAGTGCCATGATAGGATGTGTTGGGCCTAGTAACAAGCGCAACGATAAAAACCTATATCKTTTAAAAAATTATTTTCAGGAAGAGTCCTCATGCTATCGAAATAAAAAGTAAAGATTTAGTTTAAAAAAGGAATGTATATTCACAATGATAAACCATATCTTTTTTCATCAAAGATGTCTATTAATATATAACACGTTTGAATTATTACCATGGGTGATGGATATGTGCTCGGCCTAACAGCACGCGCAAAGATTCAAACTTATATACATATCGCTTAAAAAATCGTTTTCCGGAAAAGTCCTCATGCTATCGAAGTAAAAACTAAAGATTTAGTTTAAGTAAGGAAGGTATATTCCCACTATCAATCCATATCTTTTTTAACCAAATATTTCTAATATTTTAACACGTTTGATTTAGTTGTGCTTGGATGAATATTTCAGTATTGGGCCGGCCTAAGAACACGAGCAACGATTTAAACCTATATATAGTTAGCATTTTTAAAGATAGAGTTCTAATGGTATCCACTTTGTAAGAAATTGAACCTATGAGTAAGTTCAGTAGACCGCAGTAGACGGTGTAGACCTACAAATTTTCGCACCAATTTGTACAATTTTGTTAGTTAACTTTTTCACGGACATAAAGAATACACTCTAATTTAACAAGTTTGAGTTAGTTCTTGGATGGATATCTGCTGGGCCTAACAACACGCACAACGATTCAAACCTATAGAGTATGGYTTTTAAATGTTTTTTTATTAGCTAAGGTTCTCATGCTATCCAAATAAAACAATCTATGAGCCTGTCTTATTGTACCACAGGGATCCCAAAATCCAATGATCGCAAAAAAACGCCTTATAGAAGAACTAAAAACGTTTTTCAAAAAGCGATAGATGCCTTAGAAACTCCTTTCTTAGCTTTAAATTCTGACACAAAGAAATTTGGAGTTTTTGCATTGTTTTATAGAGAACAAGGCTCTTGAAGTTGAGACCCCTAAAATCGCGTTTTTTCGAAGGTTCCAAATTTTCGTCAATTTAAAAAATCGCTTTTTCTGAACAAAATATACACTAAACGAAAGCTGAGGATGAGGGCTTTATGTTTCTGAAACTATCTTTTCTGATTTTATGAAAGCGATGGTGTTACGAGCGAAGGAATTTTCTGGTCTGCAGTCACCTAGTCAGCGGTCTACTGTTTTTACACTTTTGCATGTTTTCCTGTGTTTTTGATTTTTGTTTTTAATAAAACTTACATGAATAACACCTCTTATGATGCGCTAAATAACTGTACTGACAAATGTTTGGAAAAACGTTGAAAAAGCTGAAAATTAGTGGGTGAAATTTAGTATTGTTTGGGTTGCCTGTGGTCTTGGTTTAAGGTTGCGCATTTGATTAAAACGAAAATCGGAGCTTTGCGGGTGTTATCCCCAAAAAGATATCAAAATTTTTAAACTTTAAATTTAGAAAATAATAGTATTTTACCACAGGGATCCCAAAGGTATTTCAATAACAGGCATCTCGTAATCACATGGATTTTAGACAGCTAGAGTTAATCTTTTGATGTAGCAACAACAATCCTCCAGACTCCCCCCTCCCTAGGGATAATTAATAACTAGTTCCTTATGTTATGTATATAAAACAAATACCAAAATACACCCAATAAACGTGATTGAAAAGTTACAAACCTGAAGTTGTTTTTGTAAACATAACGTACCAGGCATCTTTGAGTTGACTCCAGCCAGATTCTTGACTTATTCCGTGTTCCATCGTCGTTTCTTTGCTCAATCATATCATCAACATGGAGGACAAGGGAACACAATAAATCTTATTCAAGATACAGTTCAATGCCTAATGAATGTAAATTTGCTTACCAATAGCTTTTTTCTTATTGGACTATTGAACAATGARGAATGTATCTTGGGAAACGCCTAYTATTTAAGACCCGAGATAAAAGGAATGCCTTTTGAGAATTGTTATTTCGTGCTGAATATATCCCTTTGTTCAAAATTTCTGTAAATGTTGGCCCGTGAAAAAATAGTTAGCATACATAGTATACACTAATTCCATTGTTTTCTATTCTTTTACTTTGACTGTTAGTTTCTTATTAACCAACTTTGTTTCGCGGGCCAACGTAAAATCACTCCGCTGTTTGGGGGACCCAGGCCCTCAGTCCAGTATTTTTTATATAAAATCAACTTGAACACAAACACAATCAATCACACAATCAATACTAATAATCAATAAATCATCTTTATTGAGGATACCAACATCATAATCAGTGGTTTACAGAGTGGTCCTGAAATATCGCAAAAAAAAAAAAAAAAAAAAAAAAAAAAAAAAAAAAAAAGGTCGCAAAACGACATTATGCGGCATTGGCCTCACCCCCTCCCCCTATAATAATAATAATAATGGAACTTATATAGCGCACATATCAAAATCCATGGCGCTTCACAATAAGAAATAAAATACCAGACGTATGTTACAACATTAATGAAATGTCATAGTTCATTGATGTTCACTTTGAACCAGAGGAGACAAAGTTCTTGAACAAATGAGTTTTCAGTTCATTTTTGAATCATTGGATTGAAGAACTTTTCCTAATTTGAAGTGGGAGGTCATTCCACAGTTTAGGGCCAGCAAGGTAAAAACATCTGTCACCATAGGTCACCAGACGAGATCTTTGTTCTTCTAGATACTCCATGGTTGTAGATCTGAGAGAGCTGGTGTGCGCTGTGTATCTAATACACGTAGAGTGCACAGGGTATTCAATACTCAATGTACCCTGCACATCTATCATATCAAATAAACCGTGCATGATATAGTACAAATATACCCTGTGTATTTAACTTACCTGGTGTGTGCAGTGTATCTAATACACTTAGAGTATTTGATACTCACTGTACCCTGCGCATCTAACAGATCAAATACACTGTGCATCATATACTAACAATATACCCTGTGCATCTATCACACCTGGTGTGCACAGTGTATCTAATACATGTAGATTGCACAAGGTATTCATTACTCACTGTACCATGCGCATCTAACAGATCAAATACATTATGCATCATATACTAACAATGCTTTGTGAATATAACACACCTGATGTTGAGCATTGTATCTAATACACGTAGAGTACACAGGGTATTCAATACTCATTGTACCCTGCGCAAGTAACAGATCAAATACACAGTGCATCATATACTAACAATATACCCTGTGTATCTAACACACGTGGTGTGCACAGTGTATCCAATACACGTAGAGTGCACAGGGTATTCAATACTCACTGTACCCTGCACATCTAACATATCAAATACACCGTGCATCATATACTACAAATATACTCTGTGCATCTAACACACCTGCAGTGTGCAGTGTATCTAATACACAGAGTGCACGGGGTATTCAATACCCTGCATATCTAACATATGAAATACAATGCTCATCATATACTAACAATATACCCTGTGCATATAACACCTGGTGCGTGCAGTGTATTTAATACACGTAGATTGCAAAGGGTATTCAATACTCACTTTACCCTGTGCATCTAACAGATCAAATACACCGTGCATCATATACTAATAATATACCCTGCGCATGCAACACACCTGGTGTGCGCAGTGTATCTAACACATATAGAGTGCACAGGGTATTCAATACTCACTGTACCCTGCTCATCTAACATATCAAATACACTGTGCATCATATACTAACAATATAACCTATGCAACTAACCCACCTAGTGTGCGCAGTGTATCTAATACACGTAGAGTGCACGGGGTATTCAATACTCACTGTACCCTGCTCATCTAACATATGAAATACAATGCTCATCATATACTAACAATATACCCTGTGCATCAAACACACCTGGTGTGCGCAGTGTATCTAATACATGTAGAGTGCACAGGGTATTCAATACTCACTGTACCCTGCTCATCTAATCTAACACAACTGGTGTGCGCAGTGTATCTAAT